CTGTGCGGTGAAGTCAAAGAAATTCAGCAGAGGTTCCTAATATATAAAGATAGGTTTGATCACGTGGTGTGATAAAATGAAAAACACGAAACCTGTATGAAACTGGCATATGTTTTATGTAGGTCATCTAAGAAAAGAATCGTCTGGCAATCAGTTAGTTAGGTGATGTTCTTATGTCACTGTTTACATTCTGAATTTCAATTTAATCCACTAGTTCACTCGTGAAGATTAAAATTTTGTCTTCACCAAAGCCTATTTTCATAAGACGCGACTGAAGAGATTGGTTGGTCTGCCTAGTACTGGCTTGGTTGATGTATGTAATTGTATCCCAATTGCGCAGTTCGATGCGTATGATATGAACCGCTTGATTGTCTGTCCAGACTGGATTACATAGACCGCCGTCCTATACTTGAATAACTGATGGACATGCTTTAAACAAACAAACAATCAATGAAACAAACATGTTTAGTAATGTTTTGTTTCTTTGGGCCATATGGAATCATAGTATGGTTTCGTGTGCCAAAGTCCATCCAATGTTGAGAGATCTGGCCCAAACAGCTCTTTAAAATAGGTCACCTTCTCCAATGCATGTTATTTTGATTACAAAACATTTGAAGAAAACCACACCCATCACAATATGTTGACAGCTTTGCTGAATCTAAATACAATATAACGAAAGTGTAACTGGGCCATCTGACTGAGATTTGTATGTTGAACGTCACATGACCATAGATTCTGTTATATGATTGGCCAAAACGGTCTACTGCCCATCACGTCATTTACAATCAAACTCATTTAAGCGTAAATCCGCCTCTATTCTCAAGACAATCCAGGGTTCGACGACGCATACTCCTTATCAAACGGCCAATGTCAGCTTGGTATATATCCATCCCATTTCTCCTGCACGGGACATGTTCCATGGGTGACAATTCTGGACTGAGTTCTGTCCATGGCAAAGTTGTTATGGTTTCCTTCTGAAGATACTAAATTAAAAATGGACCATGCATGCTTCATCCTGGAACACGACACGACGTCCATATTGGCGTGCAAAATAGCGCCTCTGCTTCTAGGATGTTACGTTAGCCCTGCCTGGTGTCATATCCGTGAAGCTAATGTGAAGGAGCTCTACCAGTCACAGTCAGATCCCACAGCACGTCGTTACGTAGTCACCCAACGCCATTCCATCAACGTCACTCTATGTTGCGTTTGTCAAGGTGATTTATCCGAAAATATATCGTTTGCCCAACGGCGGTTGGTGTAGGGCTTCCGTTCTCGACAACAGCGACGCCTTGCAATAATGTTACGGTCCATCAGTCGTGGGATAACACCTGGACGTCTGTCCACTCACCCAAACAAATGAAGCTCAGTGACGTTCACCGTTAATTCCAAAGGCACTTTACGAGGGTCGATCAAAAAGTACGTAGCCTAATTATATTCTCGATGTCCAGTGTTTGAAAAGCTTCCATTATAATTTGCAGGAATCGTTAGCAAAGCCATATCCAAAATTTCACATGTGTGGGTAAATGTGGTTAACCAGATATTTGTCATCACAACACATTGGGGTATAATACTTGGGGTATAATAACAAAATTGCAGAAAATGAAAAATGAGGTTTGTCTTTTGGTACTTCTTGGATAATGGTATGCCCTCAGATAATGTCATATAAAATATGTTCACTATAGTATTGGATGACTTCCCGTCATGATCAACTGTCAATGATTTGGATTGCCTGATTTATATTTAGTCGGGGGCTATATTTTAAGTACACCCCCGTTTTAATCTTTCAAAAACATTGTGTCCAGATATTCAAGCTGGCACGGTTTACAATATATTTTGAGCTGACACTTGTGTGACCATTCAGTATTTAGTTTGAACCCTTGGCATCATGTACGCATTTATAAGTGAAAACAGTAGAATAAGCTATGCCTTTATGATTACATCATCTGAAAGGGGGATGGGTAGTGTCTCCAAAACAAGCTCTTTCAGTCGACATGAAGGGCGGAGTCACTTTAACAAGCGATTGTAATTTCAAATGGCTTTTATATGAATTTTAATATCTAAGTGTGATTCTAGGGGACTTCTATCGATCTCAAACACACAAAATATTTCTTGCATATTTTGTTTCCTGAAGTTTTTGATGCATTTATTGTAGATTTTGCGTTCTTTTAGGGTATCAAGAGAAAAGGTCAAACAAAATGGGGATCGTGAGACTGGAACATAGCAAAACCAAATTGCTTGACCTTGACAGATAAAATGTAGAAAAATAAACCATAAAAACAACTGCATTTGTATCGTTTTCTTGGTGATTCTACATACTTTTTTATCGCCCATCGTGGACACGGACTTGATGAAACGTGGTGGTGGTGGTGGTGGTGGTGATATAGTTTTAGGGCAACTTGGACCAGAAGTAAGGTCTATTTGCGCCCAACACATTAATTGAAGTTTAACTATCATAAATATAATTAGGCCTACTGCAAATGTTTATATTTACCATGCACAAAAATTGTATTCACCATCTAAATATTTTTATGAAATGACAGGATCTTCTGATTAATGATATGTATTAAAACACCAAGCAACCAATTTTTGTTTGAGAAAAAAAACACAAAAATATAATGCTCGTTCAATAAAAAGCAGAAAGTCAAACTGAAAATAGAAATGTTAAAACGATTTAAAAGCAATACATATATTTGGTCTAATGTTTCTACTGGTCGACATATGCTTAGATTGTCTCTTATGTGCCCGATGCAGTAACGTACTTTAATATTGCCCTTTGGATTGAACCGTATAGGACCTTAATTTGAAAGGCACTTTAGACACGGATTTGATGAAGCGGTCTTGTACGTCGGTTGTCGCCCCTGGTGGACTATATCTACGTAGGTCATTGATGTTATTTGTCTGTCCATGTCGTTATTATTCTCTGCTGATTACTGACTGTGAAATGTTCAGGCCTCGTGCCACAATTTATTTTTTCCAACTTCTAATATGCTAATGGCACGTTGTTGTTCCAGAGGTGACAGGTGCCGCATGCCACAAAACGTTTAACTGAGTTCATAACAATATCATAACAACATCCAACGTGGTCCTATCACTGAAATACACAACCATAACACGTTTCATTTCTCACTTTCTTCACTTTCCATGTGACCCTGACCATGTCCGTGTGCACATCATGAAACAACCTTACAGAGAAATTGGCTTTTTGCATGAAATTCATAACACGGTATGAATAGAATAATCATTTGCAATAGCCATGCCACCGTACAACGTGATTCCCAAATACTATGACATCAAAATGGAATCAGTATATTTAATTACAGTCCGTTTGACTCAAAAGCGGACCGATGAATCGCAATCTAACTCGAAAGCTAATAAACATAAAATACTCAATGAAACGCTGATCATAATCAAAACATCAGACCAACTCTGTGAGGTCTTTTTCAGAATTTATGTGCTACAAATAAAAAACATCTTTAACAAACTATCATTAAAATATTGACTCAGTTCACTATTTGTTACGAGGGAGGAGTGCAGAGAAAGGAACAGCAACGTGTTCGAGAAGCACATGCAGAAGTGCCGACAAGTCATTGATTCATTAACCTGTGCTGTGACGTCTCTGGAACACCTGGCTGTCCCTTTTGTTTGCACTCCTCCCTCGTAACAAATAGTGAACTGTATCGCTATTTTAATGATAGTTTGTTAAACAAGTTTTTTTTATCTTTGAGGGCATAAACTCTGTAAAAAACTCCCAGACTTGGTCTGATATTTTTATTATAATCAGCGTTTCATTGAGTATTTTATGTTTATTATCTATTATTAGACTGCGATTCATCGGTCCGCTTTTGAGATAAACGGACTATGCAATATGTAAGATCTCATATTGTTTCTGAAATTCTCAAACCGTATGTTTGGTCCGCCCGCACATCGAACGGTCGGTGGATTGATCTACTGTTTCGCATGGTCCTTATGTTACCAGAATGATGGTCCTTATCTAACAATCGGCACTAAAGGGGTAAACGAAGAACTGGTGGTCTCGGAGTCTCGGTGGGTTATCCATCTTAAACCGAGGCATTGTAACTTAGTGGGATAGCACTTTTATGCCGGTATTAGTGTTGACAGATGCAAACCCCATTTCAAAACTTACCGGCTCCAGAAAATAAGTTACCAGTAACCGATGAAGAAATGTTGGTGCGTTCTTTGATATTCTGGTATCCCAATCTCGTGACACTTCGTTGTTGGTGTCTGTGTTTACTGTTATAGTGGACCCGTGAAGGTCCGAGTTAGAATGAACCTTCAGTAACCCATGCTTGTCGTAAGAGGCGACTAATGGGATCGGGTGGACAGGCTCGCTGGCTTGGTTGACACTTGTCATCGTATCCCAGTTACGTAGATCGATGCTCATGCTGTTGATGACTGGATTGTATGGTCCAGACTCGATTATTTACAGACCTCCGACATATAGCTGGAATATTGCTGAGTTCGACGCTCGTGTGTGTGTATACGAGTGTACGTGTGTGAATGTGTTTGACAGAGAGGACGCATGTGGGAACTGATTACATGACACTACGTTTGTGTGAATGCGTGCGCGCGCGTGTGTGTGTGAGTGTGTGTACTCAAGGAGAAAACGGAAGGAGGTATCAAACAATTGTATTTTGTTGAGACTGTACTCTCAAAATTGTCCATTACTTACTAAGTCCCACACAACGTGATCATTCTCCAACCTACATTATCTCAAGTCAAATCATCTGATACCCATTATTAAAATTATGTGGCATTTTTAACACCATTTACCAAAGACCAGTTATGTTGGGCGTGACGTTTAATATCCTGGTGTATGTATGAGTACATATGCATATTACTGATACAATTCCCATTCTTTGATACAGCCTTAGAGCCTTAGTGTTGTCATAACGCTGTGCTTGCTTTGTGAAGCGGAATCCAGAGAACTACATCAATCCACCCTAATGTGGTCAACTGAAAGTAATGAAGCGACGCTGGAATCTATTTTAGAAAATTATTTATTCTGGAACTAGTTTGTGGTGGCAGGTGCGTCAGTGTTGGTGCCCATAAGAGCTCCAGCAACGTGTCCGACGACGGTCTGTCCGGCGTTGGCGACGGTGTTGGCCATCTGGTTAAGGGGATCCTTCATGTTGGTGAGGGTTTGCTCTGTCAAGGGAGAGAACCAACATGTCATGTTACTAATATCATGGTACATCGATGAACACATGCATACCTACAGGCGAATCGCTATCATCATTCTGAAGGGAGTGCAAATGAGAACTCAATTTGAAAATGCTTTAGGTCTGACTTTCAAGAAGGCAGAGACAACTACTCATGATGTGAAAATGGCAACTCAGTTTGAGAATTCGTTAGGCTTGATTTCATTCCGAAGAAGGCAAAGACACGTACGCATGATGTCACTTCCTGCTGCCTTCATGGCGCTCAGGGCGTTAGCGCCGTGCATGACCACGGTTCCCAGCTGAGATCCAAGAGCCTGGAGGTGGGGCTGGAGCTTCTGTCCGAGCTGGGAGACTGAGTCCTTGGCAGCTTGGAGGAGGTTGGTGGCACTGGTCTTAATAGCATTTCCAGCTGAGGTGGCGAGCTACAAAGTACAAAATATCATCTTGAAATTGGACTCGTTTCCGCAGGGTCTGAGGCAATACATTATGTTTCTTTTTCATCTATATTCGTTTCATAACCGACCTTTTACTGATGTTGTTTTTGTCATTCCCAGAAATGTGCTAGACGCTATATCGTTTCCAGGTAAGTATCCTGCTACCTCTGCCTTAGGCCTTTCCTCACTAACAACTACACCCTAAATCTGTCCATATACTCTTTATATAAATTATGTCCAAGCAACGGATGTCCATATAGCTGACGTCCTATCAACCCCAGCTGCACTCAGGCAAAAACATCTTGATTCCATAATCAATAATTGGCAAATGTGGGTCATCTACCTGTTCCCTTACCAGGTCTGTTACCCTTCACCCGCCACGTGTGTCTGTCCTATGTGCGCCATAAGATAAATATCATGATTAGGGAGACACGTCCCTATTCCATTACCCTACCCCTCACCAATCATGTTCAACTGACCACAGCGTCCCATGATGGGTTTCAAGATTTTACAAATCATTGAGGAGGCACGTACGGTCTTGACACCATCAACCATTGGCTTGAAGGTGGTTGAAATGCTCTGTCCAATTCCTGAGAAGAAGTCTGTGAAGGCGTTCCTCTTGCTCTTGATGAGGCTGGAGATGACCTCCTCAGCCTTGTCCTTGATGGTCTTCAGGAAGGAATCAGCAACGAAATTGTGGGTGCCTGTGAAAAAGGTTATCCACAACATGAAGATCAAGCCAAATACACTGGCATTCACATTAATGGTCAGGCATATTTTAAACGTTACATTTTGAATATTTAACAAGTATTGAAAAAATGCTAAAGAACTCCTGACTATTTTATTTCATTTTCATACATACAGTGAGATCACATTTGAATCATATAAATTAATATTGCGCTTCAATATATATTCGTCTGAAAGAAAGAATTTTGAGACGAGCGAGGGAGGAATAATTTTATTGGTTTAACACACGGAACAAGTAGTATCTATGTAGGTAGACAACCTGATCACAAAGAGTTTTCCCCTAAACATACAAACAAAAATAGTTCCTACTGACTTAACAAGATTGGCCTTCGATTGTGCATACAAATATGCCCAGCACAGTACTCACTGACAAGCTTGTCGACTTCACTGATGACCTCCTCTGGGGTGATCGCCAGGTTGGACAGCTTGTCCATGACGCCCTGCAGACCCTTGACCAGGAAGCCGAACACGTTCTTCATCTCACCCATCAGAGTGTCCACAACGTTGTGGAGGGAGGACTCCACGTTCTGGAGCATGGCGGGGAGCCTGTGGCAAGAAAAACCGACCATAAAATAAACGGAGGGTGAATTTGACCAAACAATATAGAAAACCATCGACTCTTTACTTCAGTTCTTCACGATTTCCAGTGCAACATGCACGATGTGCTAGTCACTAGGCTACCCGACTGATCCAAGATATATTATACTCAGCAATTCGATTTGTTTTCAGATGTAAGAATAAATTAGAAATTCAGCCGAAATCATATTATATTGTATTCTGATTTTGGCCATTTGCTTTATTCATGACACACAGATTAAGAGGTATTACTGTTACTATGCAAAGCAATGGAAACATCATATCCATCTGAAAGCCGTGTTTGGTATTACATTAATAGTTTTGTTTGGTGTTCATCTGCATGTATCTATACATACTGGAGGTCTCTGGTGGAAGAGCCATCCTTATTAGCAAGAGCATTGGCAGTGTTCAGAGCTAAAGCTGAAACAGTAGATGGGAAAAACAAACATGAGACAAGGTCGACTCTATTTTATCATCTGCAAATTCGTAGAAACGTGCGAGGAACATTTAAATTGATGCATGTCGTGGTGGCTTACGACTTTGATGGAAGTCAGTAACAAGAAAATAGTGCTGACAAGTCAGTAGGTCCAGATGGATACGCTGAGTAAACCTCAAACCTTTCAACAACACCCACAACAACCCTGGCCATAACACTAACCCCGACCCGAACCGTACTGCCAACTACATACATTCATATTGATCGTGGGTCGAAATTATTAACGTTTTACTTGTGTACTTTGCACGTGATATAATACAAGATGATGCTATTCAATATTTTACAATTTGCTATTTTCCACCTTGCTGCTCCGTGATATACACCCCGCCCCCAATATGTGTGACCAGTCTGAGCAAGAGCTGAACACACGCCTTCAAACCATCTAATGTTCCTTTGCCACTAGTCAATGTCAAACTACAGTCGAGTCATGTTGTCAACGTGGCTTAATTGAACATACTAGGCGCGACTTGAATATCTGGTAGACATAACAGATGACACAATAAATGATTGTAGTTTGAAAAACTTGCTGTAATCTAGCCATATAACAGCAGGGCCCCCAAAACAGTAACCTTCCGGGAATCGAACTCGAGTCTTTATCGTGACGAGTGAACACTTTATCTACTCAGCTTCCCTTCTATTCACCTTCACGACACTTTAACAAGAGCTCTAACACTAACGTAACAATTGTAGGTCAGCATTAAAGATCAACTTCTAATCGCGGTTTCAAAAATTACAGTTCTGAAAAAAAGTCATGTGATTTGTTACTAAAATGTCTTGCCCATGGCTGAGGTCATCCCAAGCAACCAAACCCCAGTGTTTCAACGTTGTAAGATTCATTTTATTAATGTATAATCCAGTAACTTTACATGTATGATCTGAAGGGGCAACCATTACACTAGTACTCGAATGCGTCAATATTATTCAGAACAGAACTATGATATGGGTCATATCTGAAGCATTTAACCATTTGTGGAATCTCAGTATTAATTATGGTGTGGTTTTTTAAACGATCTCAGTTTGCGTTGAAAGTAAGAGATGGTATATCATAGTCAACAGCGAAGTTAGTATTTGTTTATGAACACACGCCTTGACGTTTTATATATTCCATATTGCGCATACACATGTATTTGCTTTTTACATATCCTACATCCATTGAGAAATAATCTTTTAAAATCGCATGCAAAAAGGAACATTTCTGGAATATGATCAGAATTCTCAATAAATGTAACTCAATACTGACTTCCATATTTTCTAAGGCAGAAACATGACAGGCGAAACTACAAATAGAAATAATTTAGAAAACGTACCTTGGACGCCTTGGGAAACAAGGGTCTTTCCAGCGTTAAGTCCAGCGTTCAGAAGGTCAACTCCAGTTGTGTCCAATTGGTGCAGGAGGCTATGACCAAGGGTCTGGAAGACGTTGGCCAGGGAGTGCCCGATGTCGGTGAAGACGTTGGCCTGGGCTGTGGCCAGAAGAACAGCGGAGAAAATGAACAGGACTTTCATGTTGCTGAAACAGAATGAACAGGACCTTCATGTTGCTGAAACAGAATGCACAGAACTTTCATGTTCCTGAAACAGAATGCACAGGACCTTCATGTTCCTGAAACAGAATGAACAGAACTTTCATGTTCCTGAAACAGAATGAACAGAACTTTCATGTTGCTGAAACAGAATGAACAGGAACTTTCATGTTGCTGAAACAGAATGCACACATAACACATTGTTAACACTACAGCAATGTTAACTCACAGGCACACACAATGCTGAATTTTATTTTCTAAATGTTTAGAGAATATGAGATTTACTTGTAGGTCATTGTTAGTAATTTGCGAAAGAAGAATTTGGGGACGATATCTATGTACATGGTCATTTCATAGGCAATACACGTGTTACCCCAGCCTTAAAGAGACGTAATTCGCTGTACATAATTGTGGCCTTTGACCCTGCGTGATGCGCCTGGTGATGTTTGATATTGGGAAATGAGTGAGTATGGTTTACGCCGCTTCTAGCATTATAACAGCAATATCAGACCATGGGACACCTTAAATGGGATTCACACATTGCAACCGTGTTGGGGATCGAATATTAGTCCTCGACATGACCATTAGGCTACAACACCAACCCTGTTTAAAGAATAATGATAAGAGCAGTGTGCGAAATAGTTTCCAAATTTTGCTAGCCAGTCGCGCTAGCTATGCCTGAAAGTTACCGGCCCATAAAAAAATTCACAACTCCGAAATTTGAATGTAGACACGGGTTTCATCATTAAGCTGCTAATATGATGAACATTTTTATCAGCCCATAATCTTGCATGATTTAAAGATGTGTTATAACTTAACAAGTCGGAGAGAGTGATATATTTACAAAATGACCCCATGAAAATTCACTAGCCAGTAGGGTCAGTGATTGTGGGGATTTACCGGCCCGACTGGAATTTTACTAGCCACGGGCTAGCGGGCCAGTGGCTATTTTTACACTGAATACGAGGAATATATATACTCCTGGGTTTCACCTCTGCGACTGAGACAAAACCATCTTTAAAACCAAACTCACTCACTCGTTCACACTAAACTATATCTTATTAACAATTGTCATCTAACTGTTAAAATTGATTGGATAGGAAATCTGAACCAACATTGTAAGGCTGAAAACCATAGACAGTCATACCACTCCGAGTTAACTTGGAACTGAAAAAAATACAAAGGGCACATTTCTCACCTTTGGTGGACTGGTAAGACAAAGGTCAAAGGCTTGGTTGGTGTCTTTTTAAACGCTTTTTGCTGTCACGTGGTCTGCCATACCTGAATGTAGATTTAGCATATGGTACGACAAATTAGGACGTCAAATGTAAGCGTTATCTGTGTAAGTCGGTCAGTGTAATCTGACGTAAGTGTGGCTGACGACCATCCTCTTGGAAGGGTCACCAGCGAGGATTACAACAGAAGAGAGGATTTATGTGACATTGTGTATATACGACAGGTGTACAAAATTACTTTATGTCATTGAAAATCTGATTAGTAGCAAATAATTAAGTTCTTACGAGCGTCAGAGGTGATATAGGTTTGTTTATGATTTTGTATTCATGTTTTTTATCAAAAGTAGGAAACTCTTAATCCAACCTTTTCAACCAATTCTTAAATCAATTCTTAAATCAATTCGTGATTCCTTTCTTGAAACAATACTTCAGTCAATGTTTTAACTAATGGCATATTCGACCTTCGGACAATAGTTTTGTAGAAAGTCTAGAAAAATTCTTGAAACTAATCATTGATCGAATGCATGAACCAATATAAACATGAGCTTATGTTTTACGAATGTTATTGTAACTTGTAAATTTTGTTCCATCTCATTATAAACATCTTCTATTATGCCTTCGGCTTTTGACAATTTAGATTCCTTGTGAAAGAGTCAGTGCAATGTGTACCTCATTAAGAAGAACAGTGCTGTGTATTATGTTTAGCACAGTCTGAGACGAGTCACCATGACTTGTCAAATATTCACTCTTTGCTTTTGTTCATCTTGCATCATTTCACATATCCCGAACTTAAATGACGCGATTCGAAAATATGTATTTAAGATGTTGATTCTATTTTGATAACCGTAGATAACAATAAACTCTACTCTACGCAAAAAACAATGTATGCTGCGCCAGATGTTCATTGGTCATCACTAGTGTTTTGTGTGTTTGTTTGTTTGTTTGTTGTTTAACGCAACACTCAGCAATATTTGTTTAACGCAGCACGCAGCTATATGGCGGCAGTCCGTAAAAAATTGAGTCTGGACCAGACATTCCAGTGATCACCAGGCATGGGCATCAATCTATGCAACTGAGATACGATGGCATGTGTCAAACAAGACCACCCGATTCCGATTTCTAACCTGGATCTTAAATTACGCGATTGGAAAATATGTACTTAAGATGTTGATTCTATTTTGATAAGTGTAGATAACAATAATCTCTACTAAAATGATAGCGCAAAACACTGTATGCTGCGCCAGATGGTCATTGGTCCTCAGTAGTGTTTTGTATGTTTGTTCGTTGTTTAAAGCACTAGTCAGCAATATTCAAAACACGGCTGTCTTTAACTAATCGAGACTGTGCCAGACAATCCAGTGATCAGCAGCATGAGCATCAGTCTATGCAACTGAGATACGATGGCATCTGTCAACCAAGTCAGCGTGCCTGACCACCCGATCCCGTTCGTCGCCACTTACATAGGGAGCTGATCGCTTATTCTAACCTGTATCATCACAGGTTTTGAGATGTGAATGTATCCTTCATATTGCCAGCGCCTTCTCCATTCTCCGGACCGCGAGTGTACTCAAAATGTTGGTTTGGCGGTTGGGAAACCAATGCTGCATAGGGAGCAGTTTGCTAATTAAATGCACCCACCAAATCGCTTGCATTTTAAATTAACTGTCACAAAGAGAATACCCCAAGCTCATTTTTTGCCAAAGGGGAGCTCTCTTTGGAAGAATCTGACAAAGTTGAAGTTTATTTCAAGAGTAGTTTCAGAGAGGACATGGAGGCCAGTCACCACAGGTTCTGTATGATGATGTGAATTGGTCGAATTATTTATTTTAATTTGGCACAATAAACTCTTGCTTTGCCCTAATTTGTAGCGTTATGTATGTCAAACAGTTGACAAACCCAATCAGGTAATCTCAGCCGCACCCTTGAAATCCATTCCAGCATTTAGAGACCCACTGGTTGTGTCAGTCTTCAGTTTCAAGCACGGTCAAGTAATCAGCACACCTTACTATCAGGTGTTCTTCTACAAGAATCTATAAGCTAATCCTTGACGGAAAGTTACCGATAGTGTGTTGGTACAGTGTTACAGTATTGCTATGCCTTTGACTATTAAGCCTTTAATTTCATGTCAGGTGGGTTTATGTCCAACAGGCAATGTGCCAACAGGCGTATCGGTTTCTCACAACTCCAGTTACGTGTTGTGCAGCCAGATTCTCAGGGGGACTGTAGAGAGGTCTTCATCAAACGCTTGTCTCGCGAATATGATAATGGCGGTTCTTGTACTGAGAAGAACTGGGATGAAGTAAGGTCTAATCTGGAATATTCTGGAACAGCTAAGACCAATCCATTACAGTATGATATCTTCCAACATGCATTTAGATCATGTAAGTTGGGTAAGCGCAAACCGCTGCTTCTCCACGTTACGTGAACATTAGCAGTCGTATCAACATCCTTTGTACCCTGGACATCCTGCCAAGGCCTATTTTGCAAATTGTTGCTGCTAGGTGAATATCAATATCAGTGACAGTTTCCCTATTACATGGCAATAATATACCCTTACTGTCAATGTACTGCCACTGGTTAGCACTTAGCATTTACATTGCAGTACTTTCTATGGATTTGTATACCTAGTTAATTTTATAACCCAACTTTTAGGGCTGCGCAATATAACCGGTTTACCGGTATTTACCGGTTCAGACATGAAAACGATACATATTGCAATACGCTGATCGAAAACCGGCATTTTGACATGCATTCGGAACACTTCGTAACGTTCGGAAATCTTCGGATATTTCCGGGTTTTTTAATTGTTCTTTTCCCTGTTTCATTAGTGCCAAATGTTACTTACATTTTTATTTTGTCATGATTAAAAGTTTTTATAAAAGGTTAATCAATCATAGTGATTTTGTTGTGTTTTTGCTTTATAATCAAGCATTAACTCGATTATAAGTAGTTTTTGTTAAAAAACAAATCCTTGCAATATAATGCAATACATATCGCAATATATGTTTCCGCATCGCAATATATCGCAATATGAAAAATTCTCTGCAATACCCACCCCTACCAACTTTTAATAATTCCTGGATATCAATGGATATCAAATAGAATTCGACACGTAACAATTTACGCAATATGACCAGCATCGTACCGGCCAGTTGCTTCATATTTTAGTGGAAATGCGTATAAGGAACTATGGTTATAGCCAAACAAAATTAGTTGTCGCTTTGGTGTCGTTGTAACCGTTCACCTGCGTAGATCGATGCTCTTGCTGTTGATCACTGGATTTCCTGGTCCAGACTCGAACATGTACAGACTGCCACCATATACATGTAGCTTGAATATCCTTGAGTGCGGCTTTAAACAACAGACAAATAGACCCAACGTTATAGCTGTAGCTTACTATAAATGCATTATGTAGTCTTGAAGACATCGCTTAATCACATGTCACTGTCTAATCCGTACTCATTTGAGTTCCTTAGAATGCGACCGCCTCCGTGGTGTAGTGGTTAGAGCGTCCACCCGGAGAGCGGAAGGTCGCGGGTTCGATCCCCGACCGCGTCATACTAAATGACGCTCGGCATTAATGGGTACAACAAGGACTGGTCGGCTCGGAGTCAGTATAATGTGTCTGAGTGGGGTATTCATGCTTCACTGGGGCATGGTATCTCAGTGGGCTAGCACTATAAAACCAGCTTCAGTCTGGGCTAGTGCAAACAGCCGCACATACACATACACACGCATGAACGTCGTCATATGAGCGAAATATTCTCAAGCACGACGTTAAACCCAATTTCACCTCACCTCACCTCCTTAGAATGCAAACTTGTGTAAACTAGTTTGTTTACCCAACGTAAGAGAAACCATTTTAGCAGAATGTTATAACGAGATGTTTGGGATCGGCCACACTAAAGGTCTATTAGTGGTCCCATTCTACTGCCCATATGACAGGAATACACCGAAGCTTATCCTTCTCAGTGTCCGCGTACCTACATTCATATGTGTGAATGTTGGGCTGACAGCCATGTTAAGTATTAATTCTTTTGTTAGCGAGTCAACTTCATTGAAGAAAGCAGGACGTGATGAAAGACTTGTATCACAGTATGGCACTGAATCTAAGAAGTATTAACAGGCGAAATTGAATAATCAGACCATCGATCAAATCTTTCTGGGATTGTATATGGATACAATGCATATCAAACCGAAACATGAGTCTCATTAACCTATTCGACAATGACCTACTTTTCGGCCGATCCGAATTTCTCGTGTGAACGTGAAACGAGACACCACAAACAACTATGGTTACACTGAATTACAATTCCTTGTCTCATAAGAAAATGGTATTAACAAGTTAATTTTAATTTTAAACTTTAATAACATCGTATTTCTATATTTTATGGCGAGGTTTAGGCAGCATGACCTTAACAAAGACATCACAGTATGCCCCTATTTGATGAGGTCGCAAAATTATTCACAATTCACCTGGCACACTGGTTACACCTGTTTTGTGGTCTTAGCGCTTGTTCAATGTAGATGTGAAACGCACAATGTGATTGATATAATATCAAGTCCGTACCAGATCGCCAAACTTTTCTAGTTGGAGAGCCTCGTTTTGAGATTTCCACGATTTCCAGGTTTCCGCTGTACGACTAAGCACGTGTTTGCAATGATTAGAAGGGGCGTAGTGTTGCAATATACAAGTGATTAGATGTATCAAATAATACTGATTAATATTGATGTATCCAGGTGAATGAATTGGTATCAAAATTCTGGACTGGTTATTGTACTAAGGTGCGCAATACCACGGAACCCAGTCAGCAGGAAACGAGACTGTTGTGTAGTCAATGTTTTGACTTGTCCCCCCTACATACATACATACATGCATGCATGCATGCATACATACATACATACATACATACATACATACATACATACATACATACATACATACATACATACATACATACATACATACATACATACATACATACATACATACATACATACGTATGTACATACGTATGTACACATACACACACAAATTGATT